TAAAAGAGAAGTTTCCAGGCCCCACTGCACAGACTAATCCAGCTGGTCCAGGTGACTGTCTATGCAGCCAGGTCTGAGAACCACCTTCTGCTCACAGAAAGCCAGTTTTTTGTAAGAGGGAGTGACTCAGGAGGGTCAGGATGGGTGCCCTGACCCACAGAAAATAACAGCAGACCTGTCGGGGCAGGGCAGGGGGGAGGGCGGGCGTCGAACACACCTCACCTCCAGCCCTGGGTTTCCAACACTCAGAGGCAAGCCGTGACCCGGCTTGTCGAGCTGGTGGGAGGCCACGGGACGCAAAGGGCCAAGGGTCTGAGTCCTCTATGGCCTGGCTGTGTGCTGTGGCCTTGACTTTCTCATCTGTGAAATGGGCCATACTCTAAAGGATTTGAAGAAACAGCGATGCAAAGGTTCAGGCTTAGCAATAGACAGATATCTTCTAAGTCAGGGGATGGTAAAGGCAATTTGACCCCTGCAGACCTCTCCAGACACCTCCAGGTCGTGTGCCCGGAATGCTGAGGCTGTGGCCTGTGGACGCTTTAGGTGGACAGTGCTGTCCTGTGGGGGCCAGGCCCAGCCATGGCAGGAGGCAGAGGGCATGGAGTGGGGAGGCTGGTGCTGGGGGCCTGGTGTGGAGTGGCTGGGAGCCTGTATGTGGAGGGAGTGTGGTGGGGGGCATGGCATTTGTGGGTGGGGCTGCTGTGGGACTGCTGGGGGAACTGTAGGGGCTGGTGAACGTTAGAGAGTGCCTGCAGTGGGCAGGGGTGGGGGTCAGGCTCCGGGCTCAGTGACAGGCTGAGGGCTGAGGAGGCAGCGTTCGGGTGGCCCTGAGGAGGGGCTTCTTCCAGGCAGGGCAGAGGCAAGCAAGGGCCGGGTTTGGCCATGCAGCTGGAGGCGGAGCCCAGGATACCAGTCTCAGAGCCACAGAAGGTTCTGGACTCGCAGGCAGCGAACTGGAAACAGAGAGGGTGGGGAGAAGCTTGATAAGGGCCAGCCGAGTGCCTGCTGGCCCTCCAGAGGCCAGACCCCGTGCCCAGAGGCTCAGGTGAAACCACGCCAGCCCGGCTGGGGTCCCAGCTCCACCCAGTACAGGGCACCGTCCTGCACTGGGCAGGTCGCTGCCTCCCTGAGCCTGTGTCCGCGTCTGCGACATGGGAGATCCTTGGAGCTGCTGCTCAAGACTCAGCAAGGACGGAGGAGCCAGGAGATGGCAAGGCCGCCCAAATCCACTCCCTGCCTCGTGTGGGGGCACCTCTGGGCAGGTACCCAGGCAGTGGGCGAGGGCATTTGGTTGTATTTGCACAATGATATACTCCCAATTGTTGAAGGAGAGACAGGGCTGAAAGAGAGCCTTCTTCCTTGGCCGGTCAATTTAACTGCCCCTGGCCACCCGGGGGCCCTGGGAGGCAGGCAGCTTCTTCACCCCCCACCATTGCGAGGGCGGCAGTCCCACCACCTGGGGCTGGGCCGCGCCAGCCTCCTCTGACCAGGCTGGGAGGGGCAGCGTTGTGGCAGCAGGTGAAAAAGGTGTCAGGGGGGTGAGGCCAGGCACCCAGGTGCTTGGCTATCCCAGCCTCACGCCGCACCCAGGGGCATGGCGTTGCATGTAACAAGGGCAGGTGTCTGCTAACATGAGGTCTTCCCAGTAACCTGGGCAGTTTTGTCCCTCAATTCCCCGGGAGAACCGGGGGTCCAGCCTCTGAGCCAGTGGCCTGGTTTGGAGTAGACCAGACTGCACAGGCCCCTGAGGGCACGGTGTCTGGGCCTCTCCAGGGGCAACTTCCAGAGTAGTGCCAGCCCTTAGAGCAGTGGTTTTCAACCTTCTGGCCCTTTAAATACAGTTCCTCATGTTGTGACCCAACCATAAAATTATTTTCGTTGCTACTTCATAACTGTAATGTTGCTACTGTTATGAATCGTAATGTAAATATCTGATATGCAGGATGGTCTTAAGCGA